GGCAGGCAGACCCGCCGCGCACGGCTGCACTGCGGGACGGTGTAATCCAGGCGCCTAGGGCATGCGGGTTTCCAGAGTAAAGCTGTTCCAAGGACAAAATGTTGTTGGTCCAACGACACATGTCATGACAAACCTCGCACTATTGTTTCTCTCTGTATAAAACACGTAAGAGCTGTACTTTATTTGTATTGCGTGCTTCGGGTCCCCTTATTCGCCGGCCACATTAAACGAAAGCGCTCGACAATCTCGATGTGACACGCGGCAGGGTCGGTACGCCCGACGGCGCGGTGTGTACTCGCGCATTCGAGTCGGCGGCGTCGCCGTTCACCATGACCCGCTGCGTCGTCTGCTTTGCCGCGCTGCTGCTGGTCCAGTACCGGACCCTGCCGTCGAGCACCGCGGCGCCGGCGTCTCACTTCATCCATAGCGTCGCTGTGAGTGACTTAAGTGTGAGACTGTTGTACGTTTAGAAAAGTAAACGGCACCGGTTCCAGGCAATGTGAAAGAGTAGATTACATTGTGAAAAGTAGATCACCCAGTTTTTTTCTATCAGGGTCCGTTTCGAATCATACTCGACCACTACGAACGCTGCCCGATCAGCACGGGCCCTCCCGGCCCGCTGTTCAAGGACACCTTCCACCGCGGCTACCACGACCGGAGGAATCCGGACCTTTGGCACTACTGGATGAACTTCACGACCCTTTTGACTCTCGACGACTCGTATGATGTAAGGGATAAGGTCCCCCACTTTTTACACTACGGTAAGTACAATGTCTGATTTTTTTTGAGGAAAAGGGGAAAACCTTGTGGAACTACCATAATATGAGGAAAACTCTTAAGATTTTCAGGGCCTCCTCAAAAAAGACGGGAATTTTCCTAATTTTTCGAGAAGATTTTCCTCAGAATCTGATGAGTTTTCCTATGAAATAGAGTTCCTGCACAAAGTTTCCCCCCTTTCCTCAAAAAATCAGACATTGTTTTTACCGTGACAGCAGTGACAAAGGTGTTAATAATGTCGTCAAACCGACAGTTTGAAATACTTGTCCACTCTCATGTTGGCACTATCTTGACTATGAGCTGGTATTCTTTCGACAGATTGATTTGAACTGGGCCTCGTGGAGTTCCCGCGGCGGATGGAAGGAGAATGCATACGTGATGAGGCCAGGTTCCTTCTGCAAAAGTATCCAGCAAAGTGACCCGCAATTCTGGCGAAAATTGATGACTGCTATATTTAACGACCCAAACAGAAACTGCCCAATCCCTCCGGTAAGTAAAAATAAGTAATGTGCTGCTAATTTCGAATACTTTGATTGATTTCGAGGAATCGTATCGGGCACCTTTCAAAACATGTTCAAATTCATGCACTAGAAACAGTAGGCATTTTCAGCAACTAAAAAGTAGTTTAATCAATACGATAACTTTTGATTTCAGGGATATTACGAAATGAATAATATTTCAGCCGACTTTTCTTTCAAAAAGATTCCAGTGTTTTTCTACGGCACTTGGCGAATGAGCCTCCGTCTGGTCAAGGATACCACGAAGAACTCAGTGGCGTGCTTGTGGTTCTTCGCAAAAACTATACCGAAAACGTAGCAAAACATTAAACGATGGTGCTCAGACTTCAACTTCCGACTTTTTAATCACGTTTCACAAGACCCCACCCCAGCTCGCTCGAAACTACATAGGCTGCAGCAGAAACACAATGGACAAGGTCATAGGCCCAAAGGTTCACGGCACACCAGGCGCCTAGGGCAGGCAGACCCACCGTCGGTCACGGCTGCACTGAGGGACGGTACACCAACCAGCCGCGATTGGAAGTGGGGCGGGTTGTTTGTTTCGACGTTTCAAAGTAAAAACACCAAAAATAATAATAGAGAAATAACGAAAGCACGCAGCGGCGAGGAGGTGAGCCGCGCGGCGGAGTGGCGCCTTCAGGCCCGCCTCGCCTCAGCGCCCGGCGCGACAAATAAGCAGCGCCAAATGACTGGAAAGGCAGATAGGCAACCAGCAGCACCCAATCGCAATAAGTCAGCGGGGGAATGGGGGAGGCTGGCGAGCGGGGGAGCGGCGGAGTTGATGAGGTGCTCGGGGATGGGGGCGGGCTGCTCCTTCAGCTCCGCGCACTGCTGCTGCTGCATTGTTTCGTTCCTCTGTTTCATTTTCCTTGGCCCCTTTTTCCGTGGCCACGCACTGCGAAGATAACAGCAAACAGCATATTGTGTCTGCCCCACCGGGGAGGCCCCTTCTTCTCCCCTCCCGGGTATTGCAGGATGCTTCCAGGCGACAGTAGTGTGTGTGCGGCCCAGAAGCTCTCCGGTGCGACCGGCGGAACCGCAAAAGCGCGAGATAAAAAGACAACTCCGTGTCCCCATTCAAGTCGAGACAAATATTTTTTTTTACTATTATTTTTTCCGTTTTCTTTTTTGTTTGCCGTGTACCTGAGCCGTTCTTTCAGGCGGTAAATGTGCAGATGACGTGGATGGCCGTCTAGCCGGCGTTGCAGGAAGGCAGCGGAGGCGCGCGCTAGCAAGTAGTCTGCGGCCGTTCCCGACACTCGGCGCCATACTCGCCGGACCACAGCGGAGATGGCGATGCGTCGACAGAAAAGCCCAGCCGGGCTGCGGCCGTTAGGGGCAGCTGTGCGGGCGGGGCCGCGCGTGGCCGGGCGGTGGACTCCTTGCGGCCAGCAAGGCGGCTGCTACATCATATGGCTCTATCCCACTTCCTCGAGAAACGCCCGACAAATTGCACTTTACAGCTTGTGCACGGCACTTGTGCGCACGATTTACGCTTCACGTTCTGCACTTCAAAATGAGTAGCATAAGTGTTGCTCGCAAATAATTGAGTATAACAAAAAAAGCCAATGCCATTTCGAAAGAAGATAAAAATCGTTTTGAGCCTTACAGAATTTAGACAGTTATTCCGCAAATTTTGTCTGCTGCAGTTCGGTCAGATCAGCGGCTCAGAGAGCCTCGTGTGCATCCCCTGCTGGCAGCACCGCACGCCCTCCGCCGCCGCCGGGGCCGGAAGGACACCGGAAGTGCAGACGAGGGCGCGGATGTCGTGGCGGGGCGGGGCGTGGGGCTGCCAAGTGGCAAGGGCCAGCGCGCCGCCGGGCCGGGGGCAAGGGCAGGGCAGGGCTGGGGTGCCGTGATGCGATCCCAATTAGCCGAATGCCCCCGCCCCGCTCCGCCCCGC